ATAAATTAGATGAATGTAAATACAACATATTTTAAAATCATGGTTTTGAAACATTAATTAGTGAAACTAAGTATATGATGACATAAAGGAATGAATCAAATAAAAAGTTATTAAAATGATTGAAAAAATATTTGTGGTAGTTCATTTGTTGAATATCATTATCTAATAATGATAATACTGTCATTTCATTCATCATTCAAAACCAACAAATGTGGTATATTGTAAAATGAAAATAACATATAATTAATATATAAATATTTGATGTAAATAAAAATAATAAGAATTGAAGAATATTGAATGATGAAATAAAAGAAATGATAATGAATGAAACAATGTTAATAATAACAATAAATTTGTTAGATAATGTTTGAAATATAATTTAATAATAAATAATGAAATAAACAGAAATATAATAGAATAAAAATACAATGAATATAAAGAAGAAGTGACTACGAGTTGAAAATAACAAGTAAAACGAATATAGCAGAAATAACATTGAAGAAAGAAGAAATGACAATAAATATATTTCTTTTCTTTCTTATTATTTATTAAAATAACAAATTGTCTGTTACTTTTTCAAATGAACTAAAATACAACAACTAAATAAAAAATAAATCAAATATGAATGATTGAATTTCAATATTTGTCATAGTAGAATATATCAATTATTTGAAATTGATAAATTAAAGTTGGTTGTTTATAGTTTAGTATTGTTTTATTGTATTTATTCATTGTTTAATATTTCATTTATATTCTTTCTTCTTAATGTGAATTATTCTTATTATTTTTTTATAAAAATTATTGTGTTCAATTATATGAATATTATTTGTATTTAGATTGTTGTTTGTAATATTCTTTATATTCATATTTATCATACCAACTTGTTATTTTATTTATTTTTCTTTATTTAATTATATTAACTATTCTTCTTGAACCTATTTCGTTTTTACTTTTATCAATTTTCTTTTCTTATAAATATTATTTGTAGAAATTCATATAATTGAATCTTCTCTCAGTGCATTTTTATTTCATCTCTAACTATAATTTTTTACAATCTCCTCATTATAAATTCCTTCTTTTTACTCGATTATTTTAAATCACTATCATCGCTTTCTTTCATTTTATTTTTTATTTCTCCTTGTGTGTTTTTACAAGTTTTGTTAGTTTCAATGTTTGTTTATTGTTCTTTCATTATCACACACTCCACTTTTCATTTTCAACTTTCAGTGCAAGTGATATGTCTGATGGTTATATCTAAAAGACTTATTTTAGTATGACACTGTCTTAATAATAAATCCTGTTGGATATTTGTAATTGATAATAAACTCATTTTTTTTAAAAAATATAATACAAAGATTACACCTCAGGCATATGTCAGTTTAGCTCTTTACCCTTTATGTACCTTATAGTTCGATAAAGGGATTGAGGTAATTGTTTATTAAGAACAGAATAAAACACACAATGATTTTAATGCAATTAAAACAATAGAATTTGATAATTAACAAATTTATTAGACATTTAATAATTCGTTACTTTCTTCATATATCCAATATAATTAAAAAAAAGTATATAAAACAGAATATAATTTAACTAAATTATTAATGGAATAAACTAATCATATTTTCTATGATATCACTTATTTGTTCTTCATTAACTCCACTTAGATGTGCAATTTCACATTGTTTTTCTTTAGACATTTCCAAATAACTTTCAACGATACTTCCATCAATAATATTACTTGAAGGCATTCGTTTCCAATCATCAATAACTTTTTTCCAGTTATCAGGTGTTGTACATTCAACAATGCCTTTCATTTGGAGTAAAATTTGGTTTTGAACTTTAATCAATACATCATATATTTCATTTGGAATTTCACATATTCCACCAATATATCCAGTAACTCCTCCAAATAATATACATTTCTTCTGAACTGTTTCATATGTTGAATGAGTTGGTGCGATTGATCCTTTACACATGACATTAATACATTCTCCAACATGAATATGTGCACAATTATTAAGTCTAAATCGTTCTGATTCATTGCCAGTAGAATTTGTATTGGATATTAATATATTAGAATTACTATCAGAACTAAGA